GTAACCTAATCCTCTTTCATTTGCTCAATGACCCCACTTCCAATTTCTCTATAAACTCGTTGTTTCTCGAAAATATCCATATTACTTTCAATTTTCTTAAAGGAGGTGTTTGATTCAGGAATGTTAGATTACTGGAAATGTTGGATTACTAAAAAGATATATTACCTTGGAAGATTACTGGGAATCTTTAAGAAAATATGTTTGGTTAGTTGGTGGGTATGTTATATTAATATGTTTGGTTATGGGAATAAATTGGTGGGTATGTTATTTAAATTACTAAATTGACCCTCTTTTAAATATTAATATAATATTATTTTTATTATTAATTTTTGAATAATTTTTTTAACTCCCAATATTTCAGATTTAGCTAAAACATCCCCGCTTATAAAAAACTTTAATTTATGACAAAATCACCCCCACCTCCTGCCGCCACCGCGAACCCCTGTCGGAAAATCGCCGGAGCCCCTAAAAAAGAAGAAAATTCTGTGGGAGGCTCCGGAAGGCTTTGTTATTGCTGTTTCCGGCCATATTGATGGCTGAAAACGGCCATATCAGGCCAGATCTGGCCGTTAACGGCCACGGATCTGGCCATTAAGGCCAGATCTATTCCAGCCAGAATAGATCTGGCCGTTAACGACCATGTCAGTGGCTGTTAACGGCCAGATCTGGCCCAGACCTGGCCGATAATGGCCACATTGTTTTAAAACCCGGACCGGAGGGCAAGCCGTTTTGCTGTCTGGGTCACGGTTCAATCGGTCCAACCGGTTGGACCGGTCGATTGGACCGGTGACGTCAGCAATATTTTATTTTTAAAAAATTACATATTAACCCCTTAAATCTTAATATATTACAAAAATTCCCCTAAAAAAGTTCAAAGTGGTCCCTAAAATTTTTATTTATTCCAAAAATACCCCAATAAAATTACTAATTAATCCCTAAACTTTTGATATATCTTCAAAATACCCCTATAAAATTACAAAGTAACCCTCATAATTTTAAAATATTTTAAAAACCCCCTTGAGACCTAAACCGGATCGGAGAAGCTACCGGTTCACGGTCCAACCGGTCCGACCGGCCGGTCCGGTCCGGTTTTTAAAACAGAGAATGGCCAGGGATCTAGCTGTTAACGGCCAGATCTGGCCTAATATGGCCGTTTTTGGCCATCAATATGGCCGAAACAGCCATAACGAAGCTCCCCGGAGCCTCCCACGGAATTTTCTTCTTCATTAGGGACTCCGGCGATTTTCCGGCGGTGGTCCATGGTGGTTGGCCTACTGTCGACGGTGGTGGCTGGGTGGCAGTGGTGGTGGTAGCTGGGTGGCTGTGGTGGTCCGTAAATAATTTTAAATATAAGGGTATTATTATCCAAAATTTTAATTAAACAAGGGTAAAATTGAAATAGGATATTAATGTAAATTTGTTTTAAAGTAGGGGTATTATTGTCTAAAATTTTTATTAATAAAGGATAAAATTGTAACAAAAAAAGATAACCCTGGTAATCTCAGAATACCTAAGAAAATGGAGGTAATCAGATTACCTTTGATATTACCAATAGTAACCACTATTGGTATTTGAAGATTACCGGTATCTGATATTACTTGACAACCAAACATGGTAATCAAGTAATATAAGATGACATTACCCCAGTAATCCCACTTAACCCCCAACCAAACATCCCCAAAGGGTTTTGTTTTAATAACATCGTGTGTGTGTGTGTTTTTTTTTTCGTCTTGTTTATGTTTGGGCAAATAAAGGTAAAAACACCAATAAAAACAAGTCAATACAGTTGGAAAATCATGGACTATTTTATCTTTATACACAAAATTTTTAAAACATTATGACCATTGTACTTTAACAAATTACTCAAGACCACAGTCGGATCTGGCCATCATTGTCAGTCGCCAGTTGAATCTGGGTGGCTATGCGTTGATTGGGTCATTTCTGGCCAACTAGATTTACGGGGATCTGGCCAGAAACGACCATAATGGATCTAGCTGTTTCTTTTCGGCCAGATCCACGAGGATCTAGTTGTAATCGACCATTAAATGGTCAGATCCGACTAGTCATGCACTATTTCGACAATTGCCGGTAATGGTGTCCAGATCTGAATGTAGTCTTAGGTAATTTGATTGAAGATGTAGAAATTTGTGTATGAAAGTAAACTTAGTTTATGGGCCCACTATCTTATACTTATATACATATATGTTTTTCTATGACATATTTAGTGATTTCACTTTATATTTCCCAAAGTATCCTAGCTAGAGAGAACTATTACAGAAGTACAAGTAGCACGAGCTGCTTGGCTCGTCTGAAACTCGTTTATGGCTCAACTCGTGGTTAGCCGAGTCAACTCGGCTCAAGCTCGTTATATAAAACGATTCGAGTTTGAACATGGGGAGGCTCTGCTCGTAGGCTTGCGAGCCTGATGTGGCTTGGCTAAGTATGGTTTCATTTGTTATATTTTATAAACCGTGGGGACTGAAGTGTTATCTATATTCTTTAGTTTTAAATATTTGTAAAAATGACATTTAACCCCCCGATGTAATTTGTTCTAAAACACAAAATTAAACCTTCAAATAAGATATCCCAAATCGACAAACCCTAACCCCTAAATTTGTTCTTGTAAATATTCATAATCAAAAATCAAAATCAACATAATGGTTGTGTTGAGGAAGAAGATGAAGATGAAGATGAAGATGAAGATGAAGATGCAGATGAAGATGGAGATGGAAGTAATGTGTGATGCTATGCAAGATGAAGATGAGACGAAGATGAAGATGAAGATGAAAACAAGATGAAGATGATGGAGATAAAGATGCAGATGATGAAGATGAAGTCGAGTCAAATCGAACTCAATCGAACTTGAGTTCGAGTCCCTTTTCTCTTACTCGACAGGCTCGAGCTTGAACTTGAGCTCGATCTTGTAGCAAACGAGCCAAGCTCAATAAGTCAAAAACTCGACTCGGCTCGACTCGTTTACAACCCTAAGTACAAGGATAATAATGTCTTAAAGATCATGTGTTTAAGAATAAAATAGTTCATAAATATTCTTATAAATTGTTTTCAAAACAAGGGCATTACTATCCACAAATTTCATTAATCATGGGTAAAATTGTAACAAAATTAAGATTACTAAGCAATCTTATAATATTTAAGAAAATTGTGGTATTCGGATTACTACCTATATAATCTACAGTAATTATTATTGGTGTCAGAGGATTATCGGAATCTTTTATTATTTAACAACCAAGCATGGTGATATTAGTAATATAAAATGACATTACTGGAATAACGAGGGGTTACCCTCAACCAATCACACCCTAGGTATAATGGTTTTTTTTTTTTTTTTTTTTTTCTTTTTTAATTTTTAACTCTGAAGATATAAACTAGTAAAGAAAAAAAAGGGCAAAACTTATGAGTCAATGGATCTTTTATAGGGGCATGAGGTCTATGATAATTATAGGAATTAAATTAATCACTCTCTTCATTGTTAAATACACTTTTATTATATTAAAAAAAAAATTCTTTAAAACCTATTTAATACCAAAAATAGCTCTGTTTAATTAGATTTAATTTGTGTTTTTATTTACAACCATTTTTCCTAATTTTAAACTTAATTAGGGTCTTCGATTATAGCATTTTCCCAAATTTCAAACTTAATTAGGGTTTTTGTTTACACCATTTTTTCTCAATTTCTTAATTAGGCTTTTTTTTTTTTTTTTTTTTTTTTTTTTTTTTTTTTTTAATACCCTTTTTTTCCCAATCTCAAATTTGAATTTTTTCTTCTTCTTCAAATTCATATTTATTCCACTGTGTGATTTATTTTCTCCATAGCTTTAATAATATTTTTTCATAAACAAAAAATTATTTGAAATAAAAGAATGATTTAGAAAATTTAGATTTAGGGTTTATATAAGAATTAAAAATTAAAAATTAAAACAAAAATATAAAATAGAGAATGAAAATTTAGATTTTGGTGCGTTTGGTTTAATATTCCTATCCATATTCCCAAAATATTTGTTTGTTTAATTATTTAGGAAATATTAGAATATTTTTTAATTACTGTTAGACCCCTTAAGTTTATTAATTTCATTAAATACCCCAAAAAAAAGGTTAAAAAATTAACAAAAATACCCCCACCCACCCATAGTTGCCAGATTCTAGCAACAACCATCAGTGGTAGCCAGAATCTATCACAACAACCTACAAACGACCAGAAATATCTGGTAATTCACTGATCTGGCCATTTCCAGCCAGATCCCGTCAACGACAGCTATATCTTTGGCCATCATTGACGGCCAGATCTGGACTTTTGCGGCTGTCGACAACCAGATCTGTCCCTATTTGCCAGATCTGACCAGTCTGTGTCGTAAAGCCATTTTTCGATCAGATTCCAACGGTGGTGGCCGGAATTTGGCACTGTGGGTGGGTGGGGGTATTTTTGTTATTTTATAAAAAATTTATATATTGGGGTGTTTAGTTAAATTAGCAAACCTATGAGATTTTTTTGTTAATTTTTAAATTTTACCTTGTAATACTCACCTTATTAAACTACCAAATATTATTTCTAAAATCTTATCCAAAATAACAAAACAAACGGACCCAAAATATATTTTAAAGTGGAAGATAATTAATCAATTTGACGGGGCTGATTTCTTTCATAAAAGGTTTGATTAGGGCTCTACAATTGAGAGTCGGCCCAAATACTTGCAAAACCCAAAAACCCGAATCTACAGGCCTTTCAAATCAACCCGAATCTGTCAGCCCAATCAGAAGGTCTTCCACCACCACCACCATCGACAAAATTGAAACTTCCCGCCATTTAATTTGGTAACCTAATCCTCTTTCATTTGCTCAATAACCCCACTTCCAATTTCTCTATAAACTAGTTGTTTCTCGCTAAAGATTGGATTTTAGTTGTTGAAGCGAAGAAGCCAAACATTTTCAGTTCAGAGAATAACTGTTCACCAAATTCAGCTAAAATAGAAATATAAATAAAAATGGGAATACAAGGGCTACTGCCTCTGTTGAAATCGATAATGTTACCGATTCATATCAAAGAGCTTGAGGGTTGTTGTGTGGCTGTTGATACCTATTCTTGGCTCCACAAAGGTGCTTTTTCTTGTAGCAGGGAGCTCTGCAAGGGCTTACCCACCTCCAGGTCTATCTGTTTCTCTCTCTCTACTGAATTCTAATTTATATTATGTGTTTTGTTAGTTTTAGTTTTAGATTCAATATTTGATCGAAATGGGGTAATGGGTATGCCTTGTCTTCATGATTTGATGAACAGATTATGTTGTACCGTTGCATAAGGCAGTTGAATATTTTCACTATTTTATCAAACTGAATAGTGGGCTTCATTTGTTAGTTTGTATTGATGATCTGACGTTTTCTATTCTGTAGTTCTTACAAATGAAAATGCTAACTTTTTTAATAAGAAAGATTTTTTTTTTTTTTTTTCCCGGCATTAATCAGAAGTATATTGTTCTAATGAGGTTAACGAGTGTATTGATGAACAGAGAATAACATTTGTTAAACCTATTACTACTGTGATTCTGGGTATTTGTTGTAGTCTTACATGGGCGTGTTCTTTTATGATATTTTAGGCACATTGGATATTGCATGCATAGAGTAAATTTGCTGCGGCATTATGGTGTTAAACCTATTCTTGTCTTCGATGGGGGTCTTCTACCGATGAAGATTGAACAAGAGAACAAGCGTGCCAGGTATGCTCTATAAGCCACTTGAAGTTTTTGATTACTTAATTGGTCTTGCTTTAATTTTGCTGTCCAAAAGTGCTAAACAATTTAAAAAACTGTAGTCCAAACAGCTAGGTTAACTGAATATGTATTCTGCTACCCATCAGCTATAAAGTAAAATTTAGCTTATTCACTATTCAACATATTTTAAATGCCCATTTCGGGAATGAATAGATTAATCCACTAGACTTGTGTCTCCTCTTTTGCCATAGCTATCAGTTTTGTGGAGTGAAAGAAATGTTGTGTGCCCAAAAAATGTAGGGCAAGGAAGGAAAATCTTGCACGTGCCATTGAGCGTGAATCAGATGGGAATACTTCTGCTGCTTATGATTTCTACCAAAAAGCTGTTGATATTTCTCCTTCAATTGCACATGATCTAATTCAGGTAAGGAAGGGGATCTATAAAGGCATTTGTTTGATTTATTCTGAAAAGAATCTGTCTTCAAATCAAACATTGAATCTTAACTCTAGAACATGTTTGCTCCTCTACTGACATGGTCACTTGTGGAAGGTATTAAAGCAAGAGAATGTATGTTATGTTGTGGCTCCTTATGAGGCTGATGCCCAAATGACCTTCTTGGCAATCAGCAGACAGGTTGATGCAATTATCACTGAAGACTCTGATCTTATAGCATTTGGCTGCCCTAGAGTGAGTAATCTAGTAATTGATTAATTTTAAGGTCTTAATTATTTCTTTCATTTTCTATAGTACTTATAATTTTCCTGGGGTGATGATCCTTCCTGATCCAGATAATCTTTAAAATGGACAAGTTTGGGCAAGGTGTTCAGTTTCAGTATTCCATGCTGCAGAAAAATAAGGACCTCAGTTTTGCAGGATTCACTAAGCAAATGGTTCTTGAGATGTGCATCTTGAGTGGTTGTGACTATTTGCAGTCACTGCCAGGAATGGGCCTAAAAAGGGCTCACGCACTTATTAGTAAATTCAAAAGTTATGAAAAGGTGAGTTTAATTGTGAATGAACTTAATGCTTGATCTCTTTCAATTGATAGAACAACAAAATCAGTTACCCTGAGCAAACAAACGATTAGGGCTTTCAATATTTTTCTAGAGCTTCAGTTTTTTGTCTATTTTTCTTACTTTCAAATCCTTAAAGTATTGTGGGGAAGTTCTGGTGAATTTCTGTTTAATACCAAATGTTGTTTGATTCACTTTAGGTTATTAAGCACTTGAAGTACAGTACAGTTTCAGTTCCTCCTTTATATGAAGAATCATTCAAGAAAGCACTATTGACTTTCCAGCATCAACGGGTTTATGATCCAATCACTGAAGATATTGTACATTTGTCTGACATATCCAACAGCAATGGTGATGATTTGGACTTTTTAGGCCCATATCCTTCAATTAGAACTTACCTTATTTGTCATATTGTCTCTTCATCTTAAAGCGTTTTTATTAAATACATCAGAAAATACCTTAACCTTAAATACATTGATACCACAGCCTATAGCTAAAGGTATAGCACAAGGTGATCTTGACCCTTTTACTCAAATGCCATTCCAGGTATACTCTTTGCATATTTATTTTATTATATTCCTTTTGTGTGCGAGTGTTTAGTTGAAGTTTAGATTCTTCTGTTCTTCTATTGTGTGTTCAGCTATCAGGTGATATTAGGGTATATGTTGAATGAGGAGAATGCTTAAAGAAACTTACTTGTTAATCCTACAAATTTACGTAGTTGTAGCATGCATTGGAGTAAACTTAGAGGGAAATTTTGCATAAGCAATACTTTAACACCTATTATTATCACTTAGACATGTTTTTATCACTTAGACATGTTTTGTATCGAGTAAAACAAAAAAGCAAAAATGAAAGTCTGCATTTGCTTAAAGTCTCTAATTTTCTGCTTTTGTTCTGACACCCCCCCAGTCGTTTTTGGGATAAATTGTAGAATTTGTTCTTTATTTGTGCTTCAATCTTTTGTCTTCTTTTAACTAACAGGGAGGCAGTGATAGTTCTCAGCTCGTGCTTGACAAAAATTCACACCCGAAAAAATTTGGGCCTGAAAGTGAAAGGAAAAAGCTTGTTTTGCCTGTGCAGAAGAATCTCCTGACCAAGTATTTTTGTATCCTTTGATGTCCATTTGTCAGATTTTATTATCTTATTGAGGATTTTGGATATATCATTTTTCAAAATCTGTGGTTAGAAATTTAAGTTTGTTATT